CTCAAGGAATGAAGATTTGCAACTCATTTCTGAAAACTTACGTAGAGGTGCGTGTTGTGCTACCAAATCCTGCAAGCAAATCGAAAGGATCAGCCGGTTCGTTGGCCACCGTTGGAATGGGATTAGAAACTGACACTGAAAACTTGCCGTAAAAATATTAAGGCTTTCCATGAACTTTCGCTCATTTTGTGGATTTTCCACACTAACCTCCTAACAAATCCCCGTCAATCACTGAATTCGTTACCGGCATCGGTGGTACCGTCGAGCCACTCATGAGATCAAATAAGTCGTTATTTGTACTCTGAAAAACAAGAATTTATTATATAGTGTCACTCGTAAATACAGCCTTGCTAAGATACCGTTTTCGTAGCTGTCGGAACGGGAATAGGCTCATCTAACGAAGCCAACTGATCCAAAAGATCTACATTCGACGCCGGAACAGTGGCCACAGTGGGTGAGCCTTCCTCTAACAGAGATGGTCCATCCTCAATAGGTGCTGCAGCTGCGTTCAGTGAGTTGTGCGTGATAACAGGCATTCGCTCAAGAAGGCCATACCTGAATTGAAGGTGGATCATGCAAGAGCTAGTAACCTTGGAGCATCATACCCCTTGAAAACTGCTTACTTTATATCCCCACAATCCAAAAGCCGAGAAAACTCGACTGATCGTTGTTGCAGCTCCAAGTGAAGGTGAGCTTGATTAGCGCGGACTAGCGCAGAGATGCGATCGACCGTTGAGCCAAATCTGAGTTAACGCACAAGGTATTGACTGCTTCTTGGGTGTATTACAAGAAATGGATATGTAAATGAACCCAAGACGACGAAACGTAAAAATTACCTCGTAGCTAATTTTGCCAGAGCCGTAACGGCATAACATTTCGTGGATAAAGACGTCAAGGTTGATGGAAGCACACTTTCAAACACACTCACTACGTCACTTTCTTCAACCTTAAAACACTTACTGCGACTGATAATACTACACTAATTCTAAAGATATCAAACCAAAGTGACTACACACATAAAACATACAAATGTCCAAGAGAAGAAATGCACTAAATAAACACTCCTTATTCACTAAGACTGTGCATATTAAGGTACCTTTGCTGAATCTGCGTCAGCAGGCTGAAGGAGCAAATCACCGAATTCGCCAATAGTCCAGAATGCAACCTTAAGCAAAATCAAAAATTCAAAGCTCCATGAGCTTCACTTTGACAAAGCACTTTAAAAACCAATAAAATGGCAGACATGTCAGCAGCTGAATTTATGCAACGTATGAATTCTAGCTTTGCTTAGCAATTCTCCAGATAACGCAAAACTAAATGTTGAACAATTGTGTGTACGCATGCAATGAAAGACCTCTTCACAAATAGACCAGATAAGCGGAAACTCGCGAGAAAAGGAGTTAGGCTGGTGTCAGAGTCCGCGATCCGTCGCAGGTTTCGCTGATTTTCGCGATTTGCGCGATTCACGCGACGGGTCACGGAAATCACAAGTGCCCGATCAATACTGCAAGGTGTTCTCAACGACTGTTCATGATTCCACTTGTTTCATATTCAGTGTTTCAAATGTTCAAATGGGGCACTTGCAATTTTTGCGATCCGTCGCAGGTTTCGCGCAAATCGCGAAAATCAGCGAAACCTGCGACGGATCGCGGACTCTGACACCAGCCTTAAAGCGCTGCGCAGCCGTCTTATTCTTAGCTCCTTTTTATCCTACCACGTCTTTTTTTACAGCTTCCGGCAAAAAGGAAAATCAAAGTCACACCTGAAGAAGTGGCTGAGCGTTCGTCGAATCCAGCTGGGCTGCTCGGAATAGTTGCATGGCAGCGTAATGTTGGAGCTCACTGTGGGAAGATATTAGTTGAATCATGCATGAAACAACTTCGTCCGGTACGTAGTTACCAGCCTAAAATTAGCGCTAGTCCTGTACAGGTTGTTTGATGGTGATGTTTGATGCTTAATGCTGCATTAAAAATGGACCACTGACCAAACGCAATACAGTAATCATCGTGTCAAGATGCCATTCATGGTTCGGTGAAAATCTCTCAGTTGCGACGTACATCTTAGAAGCACATTCCGACTGAAACAAAAATTCATAGCATAATGTAAAGAAGACAAAATGCATAAATAATATTCACAAAAATTCATTTGAAAAAGACACTTCAGAATGCCTGAAGGAAACCGTGTTCGGCCGTTTTTCAAGCAGTAATATTTGATCAGGCTTACACGAGAAATATAAAATGATGGACCAAGACCAGAGAGCTCTCGAACGTGAGCTCTATTGAGGAAGGAGGCTGGATTGAATACCTACCAACAGTGCATCAGCGAATGATCGTAACATAAGGAACATTGGAATAGCCGCGGGGCTTTTCAGAAGAGAAACGTAGCCTTATGTTGGAATTTTATCGCTGAACATGAACAACAATGCGCAAAATCTGATTGAAGGAAACCAGCAGGCAATACCCCTTAACTTTCTATCGTAAGCCTGCACAGTTTTCGATAGCGCAGTTTCCTGCAGACCCCTTGGTCGCAGTTGCTATCTAGCGCCTGGATATCGAACGATCTGGAATTTCCTCTGAATACCCCTTCAGATGAACTTGTAACGATCATACCATGGTCCGGAATCGCAAGAGAATAGCAATACTAGGAGTTCACATAAGGAAAGGATGAGAAGGGTCCAATAGGTGCGCATACAGCTAAGATCTTAACTAGATTATAGGTACCCCCTAAAGCTGTAGCATTCAAGGTGGCACCGTAAGTGCAAGATCCCCCTGTCTATTGATCAGCCATTCTCCCCACCTATCCAAAAGAAATGCAACAACTGAAACATATTTTCGAACAGCAGAGAATCGATAATTCCGGCAACAACAATGCGCTTGCCTTGAACTCTGGATCCGCCGTTTCCAGGAAGATGAGTATTTCCTTCGTCATATTCGCAATATTTGTCTTATTCATCAAAGCAAAACATAACTCCATAGCGCGTCTAAAAAAGAAAATTACGCTGCTAACAATTCAAATAAGAGAGTGAATATGACCGTTTCTTAAGTGAAGACGGATAAATATGAAAGACACATTCAAAAGGAAAATTGTTAAAAGGCAACATAGCAAGAAATATCGGTACTAAAATGTAACATCCAGACTATAATATCAGCATTAATTGTTACATTGCACCTGTACGCACTTTCTTATGGAAACATCCGGATCCTTGAGACAATCCACAACCGTCGTGCGATGCCTTTGAACAGCTTGGTAATCTATGGCGACAGTTTTGAGCAAAGTATTCAAGGCAACATAACTGAAACCAGCCATTTCAACGTCGGCAACATAACTGAAAAGCCATTGCTAACACTTTGACCAGAGAACCATTGGCGAGGGTAGAATGTCATCTTTTCTAACTAACCGGATATTTTTGTCAGGATTCAGTAAAAAGCGTCCCAGTATATTCACGGCCAGTACTCGAAGTCCACTAAATGTGATGACTGAAAGTATAAGGAGTCATAAATCAGCACAAAGACAACTGCATAGGCGTACCTTCTCGTCTGATCTCATAATGTTAAACAAGTCTGCGTATAAGAAGTGCATTGCCGACGTTCTTCGCAGTTCCGTATTAGCTAGCGAACTTTGATATAGTTGAATGTATATAAAATGTAGTATATTCTTCAAACGATCTTCAAAAAAGCACCTGAGCAAGAATATCGTTCATTTCTTCGGTAGCTCTAGAATCGTCTTTTCCTAGCACCCTCAGCAATCGAAGAATTTTTACCTTAACGTCAGAGTTAAGAAAATTCGAACAGACGATATTTAGAGAGATTGTACGAAATTAAGATATAAGGCTACCTGGAGGAAGGGGTCGCTAATACCAGTAACGTCGTGTTCAGGAGAATATCCGCTCATCAAAAGATTTTTGAGGATTCGAACTAGATTTGGTACCAGCTGAAATTTTTCAACCATCAATTGTTTTTTTTTTTTTTTTTTTGTTTTTTTTTGGCCCCCAAAAAAAAATTTTGGGTGAGCGGGTGAGATTTTAAAAAAGAATAAGTGTATTGAATGTAAAGATTTTTTTTCATGCTGCGATTTAAAAATGAGTCTATCGTTACTAATTGGAAAAGGAGTCGAGAACTGTCATCTTGAGAAATGTCAGAAATGAATGAAGGATTCAGCTATCGATGAAAAGGTTTTTTCTTGGCTAACAGTGAAGTTGAGGCGACAGATCAAATTTACTAGCTTGATTTTGGCCTAAATCAAATTCCCTTTGCTCTGCGTCAGGCGAACTCGGGTGTCATGACTATAACCATTTTCAATCGTGTAAGTCTCCATTTAAAAATATCCACAAATCATTCCTAGCTCCCTTGAAAACACTTACTTTTCAAGATGATTTTCAAACCGTGCACCTTACCCCTCTGTAGCTGTTCCTTGCAGATATTTCGTAAGGCTTCCCGAACAAAACATATATTCGCACGATTATGGGACATAAAGACGGATCGAACAGCATTCTGAGGAGCTCGGACGTTCAACCCCTATTGACAGGTTCTTTAAGCTTGAAAGGTGCTATCAACGCATCAACGCTCAGAGAATATTACAAATCGTGGCGAAGGTAGCAAAGGAAAGAGATGTACTGGAGTTAGAGCGGGAGGAATATAGCACAGAGGGCGCACTAGGCCTCCAACAAGACAAACTGAGGCAAAAGTGAAGTAGAATGTCATCAAGATTGATCCCTCGATTTTCTTCATAGCAACAAACATTTTTTGATAAGTTTCACTTTAGTATGCAAAAATGGTCAGACCGCTTCACTCCATTCCTTCAATATTTTTTTCGACCTTCGCAGTATTTTTTGCATGCTTTCCACACATTTGAACAATTTCACTTTAGACAGTAAGGATGGTTCTGGAAGAGTATGAAAAAGAGAACACTCTGATCACATCAGACACTCGTAAATGGGGATGCAGAGAATCAAACAATTCGCATCGAAAGCAGTTGGGAGATTCTGTCATTACTAAACAGCCGATCTAAGGTTTCTCTAGTTCCAACGGTGCTATAGAGAAACAGGAAAAATGGACTCAAAGAGCAAATTTAGCGAAAGAATCAGCCATTACTATCATTACTACTAAGTTTATTACATAAAACACAACCCATTTGCAACGAGAAGGTATTTACGAACAACTAAGCTAGAGTATGCCAAAAAATATCGAATTCCGCAGCTATCCATGACTGTGCACCTCAGAAGCCATGATGGAGAAGATGCCACCCCAGAAACACGTGGAGAGAAAAACTTGATAATAACTTAAAGATTGTGGATGATTTTGATAGCGAAAGCAAAGTGCTTGCACAGGGCGCAAGCAATGCGCAGGAAGATCTAGTCATGTTTAACAAAAATGAGCTAATAAGAACCTTTTTGAAGTGATTCAGCACATCAGGACTACGTTCGCACATTTCTGTGACCAGTGTCGTCGCACCCATAAGAACACCTACAAAAAAAATCACTGCCCAGTGAAAAACATTCATCTTTAACAGAACGGACTATGTTTGAAAAGACTCACCATGATTTTTCTCTCCTAATAAAGAACGAGTACAAGAAATAAAAACCTCCATAAGTTCAGGGACCTTACGCACAATTCGAAAAGCACAAAGAGCTGCCTATAAAAAAGTCGCTATGTATTGAAATGAGAACATATGACAGAAAGGGCTTATCAGTCAAACTCTGAAAAACGATCTACCTTCTTTTTAATGTAGGTGTTGCTGCTTTTCACCAAACGTTCCACTTCATTCGCCAAGTCACGGCACATTTCTGAGGAGCATATGGAGCCAAGAGTGCACAAAGCGAGTCCCGTTACGAATTGTGTGGACGCGTTTAGATCACTAAAATTTGGCTTCGATGTGAGCTCTTCATAAAAGAAACCTTGAGAATGCTCAAACCTCCATGCTTGTAATGAAGAACTGCTTATGAAAAAGCTTACTTTTTAAGTGAATTAGTGACGAGCAAATGCACTTCCGATCGTTCATCAAGCAATAACATTGCACCGAGGTAACCTATCCGCTTGTCGGTGAAACGTGGTTGCGCAACAAGTTTCATACACTCCATCTAAATAGGCAACAGACTTGTTCAATTGCTGAGACATGAAAAAATAGGAGAAGCAGGAAAAGAATCGTTGCGAAGAAGGACGAAAGTTGAGAGAAATTTCCATATAAAGGTAATGATGACCGTTGATCTTCAGTATTTTGTGATAAAAACGACAGAAAGGAAAGAAGAGAAAAGCCAGATACCGACAAACATATGTGAATATGGAAAGAGACAATAAAAAGAAGAAATATTTTCAGACGTTGTTTGTCACCTACCTGACCGAAATGTGCTGGATATCCTAGCATGTGAATGTAGAGCAGTTTCTATATATGCGGCATTTCCCATGGTGAATCGTCCTCGCGAAAGTTTTTCTCTGAAATAACTAGTTCAATTACCAGACAAAAATATAAAATTTTCGCTCATACTGAGATTAGCATACAAAATGCAAACCCTTATCTCGCCACCTCATATCGAAAAAAGCTACTGTACTCGGAAAGAATCATCAAAAAAAGGATGGAAACGAAAAAAAACCCACCGTATATTGGCACTTTCTCTGTCTACAACTGCTCTTTCTTCGGCCATCGTTCGCGCTGCACGAACCTGACGAATGGAGGTCTCGCAGACGCATCGGAGTGCCCAAAGTGCTGTAAAATGCCACCGTTATATATGAAACAGAAAACTATTTGGAAAACTGTACTCTTCAGATCCTATTTCTACACAGTTCTACAGAAATGTGCATTTCAGGTACTTCCAGCCAAATCATCTCACTTGCCCCTTTCGAGAATCTTTTCGCAATCACATCTCCTACCCCATATAAAAACTATGCCACTAATGTCGTTTCCTCCGCAAACTCTAATGTGATGATCAGAACAAAGTATTTAACGAAGCACACAGAGCAGATGAAGCTTTGCCAGTTTCTATTAACGGTGAGATATCAAGAGTTTGTGAGCGATCTAACCGAGCTCGGAAATCATCCACCAACGGTGGTAGAGCGTAAGTACATGAAACTAAGGTAAGTATCTCAGCTGTGCCCAAACACTAGTCGATATAAGACCAAAGCACACACGCTCGCGCGCTATGCCATTGCCTACCCAAAAACCTGAATGATGCGTCGTATGGCACTTGCCTGCGGGACCCCGGCAATATTAGGTTGTACAGGAATATGGTATTCAGTATTGGATAAGATATCGATGGCAAGTAATGTTGCGCAGTCAACTTCGATACTGGTCAAATAATGAGCTCAATACAGCGTAAGAAGAGGCTCTTCCGAATGTTCAGCATGATTATCGTATGCATATTGGGATAACGGACGGGCGGAAGTGGAGTATAGTGGGCAAGTTGGCACGCTCAACACGAGTAGCGAGTCCGGGGATCAATCTTGTGGTGCTGACGCCGGTGAATCAGCCTTCCATCCCTCCGGGGTCGGTTAATTGGTACCAGACTTGTCTGGGAGGATAAAAACACTGAAACATCGGCTGGCCCCGCAAGTCATTGTATAGGCCACATCGCATTCAAACGCCACTACGAATGTACAAATGGAAGTAGAATGCGTGCCGCATCCCAAAAAGGGATTGATCAACGGCAAATGCTTTATCCTTTTATCCTTTATATGGCAACTGACAGGATCACCTCTCCCCTTGCGAACTAACTCCCACCGGAGAGCTTTTGTCACCAAAACCAGTAACGAGTAAGATGAGATAGATTATACGGACAAGGTTGATAAGGAGAACTAAGTTCTAAGTTAGCATAAAATTCACCTGGACAAGAAACTCTTCGAAAAAATGGAACACTCATACAGAGAATGAGAGCGTTCCATTTCCATAGGCATCTATCGCGGCGACTATGGCCGTCCCGAGTGCTGTTCTTTCCCACTTGAACTTCAAAGCTTGTTACAAGTGCGTATGTAGAATAGCAGGCCATTAGGTTGCCTTCAAAAGACCTTCGCATTCCGCCCGTTTGCACACGAAAACACATTGCACATCCATACATAAAAGTACTTCGCATAAGGTCGCGGAATCCCCAGGAGCCTTTTATCTCCCTATTATGGGTCCATAACTTCCTGCTATGACTTTCAACTAGCACCTTTCGCAATTACCCCATTAAAGACAACATGAAAAAAATTGGACCCAATTTCGATGAGTTTTGCGAATACGTGTTATTATACGTTGCTGTAATAAAAAGGAGTGGAGGTACACACTGACCAAAAGAGGTGTTTGCGCCAGCGAGGGGATTCGACCGCGCTCAAGCTAACCAAGGCTTTTTTTCCTCAAGGTCGATTAATCAACACCACAGAGTTGCCTGGAGGAAAGATGAAAGCCCCGACCAAAACATCGGCTGGCCCACATACGTCATCTCACAGACAAAACGTGCATTCATGTCTACGATTATGAATGGAAATCGGATGCGTGACACACAAAAGGATTGATCCCTGCTGGACTCAATCTACACCTCTTTAAACGGCATACTGGAAAAGGTGCTGAGCTGACGCAAAAGTGATGGGAGGTAAAGTCAACACAGGATACTTTCAGTGAGGTTTGTTGCGTCGTAACCAAGGTGTTATCAACCTTTTATTGAGCTAATGTTTCGGCTTTATCGCCTCCGTCAGAACCTTAAGAAAAGACCAGGACTTGATGTAACTACCGTTTAATCTAACCCTCGCAATGCCAAGATTTACTAGAGTCAAACGTGGACAACACAGTATCAATTTTTCAGTGAATAGTCATGAGATATTAGAAGGCCTGAAGAACGTTTTGGAGATAGCCAACAAATTAGTGACAGCAAAACAAGCCACAGAAGCTCGAGCAGGTTTACTGAAAAAAGTAAAAGTACTTACCTGTCCAGGTAAGCACGCATTTGAAAATTCATGACGAAAAATTCCCAGGAAATGTGGTGGAAAGAAGGAAGGCCATATAAGATCCTAGCCGACTGAACGATCTCTCGTATGCGAGCACACTCTATGTGTTTAATTCGGAGCATTCGCGCGCCATAATATTTGCACAATGAACAGTCAATCACCAGCCAATCTCCAAGATGCTCCTTGCTGCAAACGCAAAGTCCTGCAGAACAATGTCTGTTTTCTCCGAGTGAGAAGAAGTAAGACACACGTGGAATTCAATGGAAGCTTCACTGATGACAGGGCATACTTTTTTCGAACTTCATCAGGATTCATTTTTAAAGAAAAGCGTTTGCTGAAACTGGGAACCCGAAAAATAGGTAAAAAAACGAAGAGATGAGCGTTTTGAAAGTAGGTTCACTAGAGGTGGAAGCAAATGCGGCAGTAATAAGGAAGGAACCTGGCGCTACTCCGACCATTGTCAGATGAATTGGATTTGGCTTGCTTTCCGCGTGTTAGCTTCTCAGTTTCGCCGTACTTCGCGGTGGAGAATCTTACGAATGTTATCTAGTCACATTTAAAACTTGTATAAGATCGACTTCACAGAACCATATAACATGGAAAAAAAGTGATTTTCTCCGCAGTTATTGTGTGGTGTGCTTTCAAGGGTAACAGTTAATAAATACAACTATATAACCAAATAGAGTGCGAGAGGAAGAAGGTAGGAAAACGGACTGGTGAGTGAGATGAGTGCAAGTGATAATGCTACTTCCCGCCACCCTCTTTACAGCCTCCCCTCTCACTTCCATGTAAAATAATATCATATGCGCAGAAGCAGATCAGCTATGAACTCCGCTTCAGAAAAAAATAAAAAATGTCAATTTACACACCGTCCGATCCTTGATTTGACCTCATCGATCTTCTCGATGGCCATTTCTACAGCTGTCGCCATGATTAGGGTTTAACCTGGCCCTCGTGTTGTAATCCGAAGGACTACTAAAGAAAGCTCTGAAGAAAACATGGATGAAAGAAGCTTTCATAGCAAAGTATACAAAATATAACGAATATGAACGAAAGTGGCAAAGAAGAACGAGTGAGAACAATACTGGGATTACTTCAAGAAAAGGCCGGCGGAGCGCAACGGACTGCAGAGGCTCTGAGAACTCACTGTTCTCTTTACTTGAGCTTTACAATTAATACTACAAAACCAGCAATGTGATAAAGTATGAAATCGTCATAGATCACCAGATAAACAATCAGAGAGATTTCAAACAAGAGGTGGTAAAGTTAGACAGACCAGAAAACAACGGAGAAGAGGAGGGGTCTTGATGCGCTCTTTCCAATAAGCCATGTTAGCAGGAAATAAAGAGGCATAGCTAAGCGAAAAACGAGCCCCACGAGGAACTCAGCCCGAAGGGATAGCTTGAAAGGTCCTCTTAGAACCTTTTGAAAAGAAGTAATCTATCCAAATGAAGGTGAGAACCAAGCCCAAAAATGAAACAATTGATCAAAAAATTTGATAGTAGTTTGATTAGAGTCATATTATGCATGCAATTAAGGTATTCACGAACCAATGGAAAAGTAAGGAGAAGGAATAAGCCAAGGAACCCTTAGAATTAGTGAGTAGCTGTTATTCTAGAGGACGTTGCAGGTGTGGGCGCTCACATCTCGGGAGGGGGAACGGGAACATACAAGTGAGTGAGCCACCTACAGTACTTGGGATTAGACCTTAGGGAGGGAAAAGGATATTGGGACAAGATGTGAGCAATATTCGTTCGCCTTTCTCTCCCTCTGCCTGGGCTTAGTTTTACTGTCACTTACCGCGGATTTTAAATGCCCTATTTTGGATGTCCTCCCAAAGTCATGAGCGCCAGATGTAAACGCGTTTTAGATGCACATTTCTCCGAACTTACTGCTAGTGAAATATTGAGCTGACAGACTGGACTGGTAAAATTTAAAAAGAAACTTGCAGATGATACTAAGTGACTTATAGCCGGAAATGGATCAGAGAAGATCTTCCCATTTGCCCTGAGTTGAGAAGAATTCAGCGTGCTGAAATAAA